GTATTAGTTAATGGGTTTACGTAAGCATTTTTTCTTGTTGAATACTCCATGTCTTTAGAAAAAGTTTAAAAAATACCATGTGGCTGGAGTTAATAGCCCTAATTGATGGAGAGATCAAAATTATACAATTTTTAGAGTTGAAGGATAAAAAAAACTGCAAAAAATAGTTGAGGGACTAAAATTAACTTTAACCTTATTGATATAAGAGTTTTTAAGTTAGTGGTTTGGTATTTACATCTTACTAGTAACACCCTATTATTCTGTAACTCATTTAAAAAAGAGAAATTCAACATTTGCATCTACAGTCTACAAGATTCCTTCAACACAATGGACTTCTCAATTTCTAGCATAATTCATTGTTCACACTTTAAGTAAGCCTCAGTAGTTTCTTGTGAAGGACCATGTTAAGATTAATACTATCTTTGATCCCTCGTCTCGTAACTTAAGCTTCGGGTAAAATCCTGACACATGTTCGGTTTATATATATGGATGCATTAGGATGGTGGTTTCTTTGGATCTTGAGTAAAAAATTTTGAGCCCTAGAATTGAACTGCGACTGCCAAGATTATCTGTTCTTGTTGTTCTCTTTGATATAGCTATTGATATAACTATCTATTCTTGAAAAAAATTCCCTCCTTCCCCAAAATTCCCCAAGTTCAAAAATAAAAATAAATATATATATATTGATTGGGTTAGAACAGAGATTTTTTTGGGCTTGTTTGATATGATTATGATTTTTTATTTTTAGTTTTGATTTTTATAAATTTTACGATCTTTAAAGAATTAATTGAAAATTAATCTTACCTATAATTCCTTAAAAAAGATCCAATAACATTAATTTTAAGACCTAAATTAAATGGAACAAACTCTTTCGGCCTCTTTAGGCCTCTTGCATTCTTCCAAACCCTTTTACTTGAACATTTCGCTAAAATTAAATCAAGTGTTTTGTAAATCAGTCCAAAAGAGTTTGTTCCATTTAATTTGCGTCTTAAAACTAAAAGACATTTAGGGAACTGTGTTTATGCTTTTCTTTTAAGATAGTTATTTAAGCATCTAAATAAATATGGATAAACTAAAGATTAACCAATAATTATATATAGTTAGGGGAAAAGGAAAGTTAGGATGTTCTAATATTCAAATAAAATATCATAATATTTAATAATAATTACACAACAAATTTAATAAAATTAAAGCTCACATTAAGTATTTTAATATTTTTAATATTAAAATATTTTAATTTTCCCTTTTCTCATATAGTTATTTGACGTTAAAACAATTAAATTTACTTGATACACAAATTAAGTTCCAAGTCGCACGAATTGGAAGAGTTACGCGCCTATTTAAAAAGTGCTCGTGGTGAAGTCTCGTGGCTGGCCCCGGATTTGCTTTTTTAACTCTTCTTTGAATAATGATTTAGACTTTTAGTCTGACTAATTATTTAAATGCTTGCAAACCACCACTTTTACAGGCACAGAGTATTTACAAGGGTTGTTGATAGTGACACTCAAATATATGAACAATCACAGTCTACTAGATTCTTTTTTTTTTTTTTTTCTTTTTGCCCAAAGTC